TCTTCAGAATACAGAAGAACAAGGAGTCCTGGAAGTGATGGTTTGGCCCCCACAAAGCCCTGATCTCAACATCATCGAGTCTGTCTGGGATTACATGAAGAGACAGAAGGATTTGAGGCAGCCTACATCCACACGAGATCTGTAGTTAATTCTCCAAGATGTTTGGAACAACCTACCTGCCAAGTTCCTTCAAAAACTGTGTGCAAGTGTACCTAAAAGAATTGATGCTGTTTTGAAGGCAAAGTGTGGTCACACCAAATATTGATTTGATCTGGATTTCTTTTGTTTGCTCACTTTGTATTTTGTAAATTGATAAACATAAACAATTACAATATATATTTTTGAAAGCATTCTTACTTTACAGCACCTTTTTTCACACCTGCCTAAAACTTTTGCACAGTACTGTATATTGATCACTTTCAATTTTTATTGAACAATTTGTTCCTGAAGAGCTCATTTGTAAAAGAAACAAAATTAACCTCATGTTTCCTTTACAATGCCTGTATTCTGTTCAATTCTCCCAAATAAGTTGCAGCAAATCTGTGAAAATTATTAGTGGACAGAAAGATATCTATTAACTCATCTTTCTGGAACCAATATTTGTAGACTTGAGGAAAAAAAAGTCTTTGATAAAATTATTATGTCTGACAAAACTAGCAATTGCACTTAGCCATAAATCAGGAGTAGAAAATCCATGTCCCTCTCGCTGTTATGAACTACAGCTTACATTACCCAGTATGATCAGTGATGCCAAAATATGTCTTCAGTGGTATCTGAAGGAATAATGGGTATAAGCAGTGTTGTAAACAGTTGGCTGTTTAAAGATGTATTTATTTCAATTTATATGGCTACCCATCTCTAAGTAACTCTGGCAGTTGACAACAATTAAAACTACCAAGTATATAAAATAATTATGTAACTGGCAGTCAAGATAAACCAACAGACAATGATCAACACAGTCACTTCATAGGCAAATATCTTTTCTTGAAAGATAAAGTTACAAAAATAATTTGGTTTAAAATATGTTTTTGATGTATTTCAGTAAAATAACCTTAATATATTTATTTTTATGCAGAAAAACCAATTCTATAGTTCCTTAAAGGTGAAAGCTGTAATGTTTTACATATTTAATAGGGAGCAAATCCTATTAAACTCAATAGAACTAACACTTCTGAATCCATATGTAGTAAATTGCATAATAAAGCATTTATTGTAAAATGTTTATGATTTAGAATTTCTGTCAAGGTGTACAAATTTACTGTTTCACTGATAAGTATTTAAATATATGACACATGTTTGGAAAAGAGAATAAATTATGTGTGCATACCTTTTTGGAATGGATCAATACATTTAATTGTTTTACAAACATTTCCTTAATATTTATGTTTTTTTTTAATTTTAATTTTTTGTTTTCAGATTATTGCAAAGGTAAGTGTGGATAACAGAACTCGGGCTTTAACTCAAGCATTGCGAAGATCATGTACTAGAAGAGTCTGTATCAACAGAGTTGAAGAACTGACATACCATCTATTGGAATTTCCAGACAGTAGAGGAGTTGCCATTAAGGTAATGTTATCTGACCATAAATAGGGAATGGAACTAGGAAGTTATGAGAGAGAGGGGAAAACAATATTTGTTCTGAAAGTAATAGTGAACGGAACATTTTACCCTAAAGTTTTTAGATGTAATTCTAAATTCCCATACCACTTTATACCTGAATCAATAGGAATCAAGGGCTTTAATATCTTCTAAAATGGTGGGCAACCTATGGACCTTTAGTTGATTTTATTTGGCTTCTGCAAGCAATCAGTCTCTTTATTACTTGGCAATCTGAAAGGTGAGGAGGAAGAGAAAAGAATCAGAGATAGGAGTGTGGATCCAATCACTTTTCACTTTAATAGCCCCTGACTTTTGTTCCACCCTTTGCCAACCTGCAGTTGTCCCTACCCCAAATAAATTGACTCTAAGAAATGTAGTCCTTGACAGATTTCTGGCCTCATATGAAAATTGTACCAACCAATATTACTGGTATTATTTTATAATTTTTTAAGAACATAGGACAATGGTATAAAGTGTTCTGAAGATAATTCTTTTTTTTTTTTTATAGTAGAATCTGGAATCATGTGTAGTTATAGTCACTGTATTCTTTGTAATTCAGTTGTCTCCTTATACTGATCTGTGATTTGAAAAGTGAGCCATAATTACACTTTTGGCAGCTGAAAGATTCCAGCAACCTGGTACTGGTATATTTGTTCAGAAGTAAATTCTGCTGATTTCACCAGTATTTACTTTCTCACAAATTGCTCAGGGGTTGAGGGCAAGTGTTATACATGCAAGGATATCCTTACTTTCATTTTAACCTTAAGATAATAGTTTCAGGTTTGGGGTATAACAGGAATATCAGCTAAAATCTTTACTTTTTCTTCTAGGAAAATATCATTCCATGCTTGTTGAAGCTGAGGCAGGCAAAAGATGAAGCACTACAGGCTGCTGTGAGAGAGGCCTTGGCTGTGATTGGATATACAGACCCAGTAAAAGGGTGGGGCATTCGAATTCTTTCCATCGATGGTGGAGGAACAAGGTATCTAGTTTAGATGCTGTCATATGAGCATTTTTCTCTTAACTCATCAGCAAAACAGATTCCCAGAGGAATCTTATTGCTAGAAAGGGTTTATGACCAGAGTGAAATTGGGTTGTTGGTGGTTTATTCTGATATTTTTATACTGATATCTTGTTCTTGAAACAATATTTTTCATCATGCCTGGTAGAAATGGAGTAACATTTTGACAATTTGAGTAAACAAAATATTGAATTCCCTAGAGATAAAAATAAAAACAAATAAAAAATGAATGTCATTGTATTTCTAAATTTAGATTTATGCTGTAAATTTGTCTGTTTTTCAATAATATTGGAAAATCTCATAGAAAACTGAATAAAAGAGTTGATATATATGTACATTTGGCATAAACCCATAAGGCCTATCTATATATGCTTCTAAATTACTTTGTATGCTGCATTTTAACAAACTACTAAAAATAAGACTAATTTTGTCCTTACATTCAAAGTTAGCTAACCATTGAAATAATACAAATGATTTGACCCTGGTTTGCATTTTCAGTCTGGAGGTTAAATGGAAATGTAAGGCAGGAGGAAATTCAGATCTCATTCATATGATACCAAATCATAAGATTGCTGGTACTCCTGTTAGTATCTCAGAACAGCATTCAGACTATTCTCCATTTGATTGGCACAACTCTCTGTGGTATATCAAATTGAAAGGTTAACAATTAACCTAAGGTCTCTTCAAAGATTTGAATTTATATCTCCCTAGTCCTAGTCTAACAAGTAAACAGCGCTGGTGGTTATCTGCGAATTAAACTAAACTATGTTGCATTTTATTTGTATTTATTCAATTTATATTCTGCTTTTCAGTTGAAATTGGCTAACAGTGATGAAACAAAAAGTTTAAAAATATAAAATTGATACTAAATTAAACCAAATATTAAGTTTGCATTAATGAGAACTCATTCACAATTATGATAGCCACCAAATTGTTCTCATAAAACTAGAAGTCTGGCCAACTGCCCAAAGTCATTGGGAGCTGGGCAAACATATTACTATTATTAATTTTATTATTAATAAAAAATAATGATGTTTTAGAACATTGACTAGAGAATATTACACTTTTGGTCAACATTAGCTCTTTTTTTTTTTTTTCCTTCTCAGTGACTTACATTTTTAAATGAGATTCCTAATTGAAAATACAAGCACATATTCTGTGCAGAGATATCCATCTCTGTTAATTTAAAGGGCTGTTGCAAATTTTTATGTCAGAACAAGAAACCAAGCTTCTACTTGATAAGAATTACTTGGATCTTCAATTCAGTATCTACTATTTTAAGCAATAGATGAGTAAAATACTTGAGTTTGCTTTTGGGGCACTCTAACTAGAATTCTGAGAGTTGTACCACATATAGGTAGTTTTCATTTAGCAACTGCCTCATTTAGCGACCATTCGCAGTTACGACTGATGAAAAAGTAACTTTATAACCAATCCTCGCATTTATGACCTTTGCAGATATGTAAAGCAAAGGAAAGCTGAATAAGATCGTAAGCACAGTCACAGTTTCACTTAGCGACCTCTTCGCTTAACTACCAAGTTGCCGGTCCCAGTTGTGGTTGCTAAACAAGGGCTACCTTTATTAACATATAAAACATATTAACCCAGTGAGTTGTAAAAATTTTTAAAAAAATCCTAATTAAAATACAGTACAAAGTTGTATGTATTTAAGTTATAATTAATTGTTTTTAAGCAACGAGTTAAACTCTAATAGATGGAATCGTATTATCCTGTTCTTCCATTGTACATATAAAGAGCCAGTTCAAAAGCTGAGAATGCATGCATTTCTTCAAGCCAGTCTTTAACATCTATCATACAAAACACATTACAGGTAGTCTTCACTTGCTGGCTTGCCTCATTCAGTGACCATTCTAAGTTATGACAGTGCTGAAAAAGCAGGTTTATGATCAGTCCTTGAACTAGCAGCCATCGCAGCATCCCTGCGGTCACGTGATCACAGTTCGGGTGCTTTGCAACCGGCATGCATTTTTTATGGTTGTAGCGTGCCGCAGTGATGTGATCGCCATTTGCAACCTTCCAAGCTGACTTCTGACAAACAAAGAAAGTCGATGGGGAAGCCAGCAGGAAATTGGAAGTTGTAGTCATGTGATGTTGCACTTAATGACCCGCGGTGATTTGACCAAGCCCCAGGCCCTGCCCTGCTCAGTCAGAGTCTAAGTTGAAGTGAATCTGAGCAATTTTATCTATCAGATAACCTGAATAATCCTCACAGCGGCCCAACAGATACTCCGAGAGGCCTTTCCCTACCCAACAGGGATCAGGTCACCTTAAACAGAGCCGCTGATGGCTATCAGAGAACACAATAAGAGCAGAGAAATATTGATCACCGCCCCTATTGCCAGATCTGAATTGTTGCTTTTGCCTTTGGAAAAACTGTATATTATACCCAGAATTATGGAGGTTTCTAAGGCCACCAAAGCATCAAGTTCACTTAACAGGACTGCACGGATCTGAATCAGTACAAAGAAATTGCAAAGCAGCTCCTGCTGTACAATCTCAGTCTAGTGGCTTTGAGGTTATCACAAAGTTTCTGGGCACATGTGTGTACAGAAAACATTTCTGCTTGAAGGCTGGTTGTAGCAGCAGCTGTTTTGATTTGCCAGTTATTCCGGTGGAAGTATCTTCTGGGGCATGCATGCAAATACCCAGAAGACTTTAGAAGAGTTTCAAAGGAATTGGATCAAGTCCAAGTCCATAAAGTGGTTGCTTTAATTGCATTGATTTTATTATTACATTTTACATTTTGTATTTTTTAATTGTAAACAGCCTTGAAAGTTTATATGAAAGGTAGAGTATATTGATTTGTCAATGAATAAATAAATGTTGGTGTTCAAAATGCCTCATGTTCACTATTATGTTGGTTCATTGACATCAGTTACAGAGCTCAGGAAAAAGTTAAAAGTTTCTAGGCAAATTGCCCAGAATAAGAGAAAGTGGGCTAAAACATTGTGATGGGTAAAAATACTAAGATACAGGAGGAGATGTAAGATACTTAAAACAGCTAAAACTACTTAACAAGTAATACACATTTACTGAATGCTGTGCTAGATTACTGAATCGTAGATTACTGAATGCTATGCTACTAAGATATTAAAATGTGAATTCAATAGCTGCTAAAGCATTAAGATAGTTAAGAAGTAACCCTAAGTAAATATAATAGATAATGAGGTTACCCATAAAAATAGTTAAGATTTTATCTAAAATAAGTCAAAGATGGCCCACTGCAAGGAGATACATATGTGAGGATATTTGCATAAAATTTAATGATTTTTTAAAAAGCCAAATAAGACAGTGTTTTCCAGTAGATTCCAGTTGAGAGATGCATTAGTAAACCAATAGAAAAAATCTTTATCAGAGTAACTTTCCCTATTTTGTCAGGAAATGGAAAATTTGTGAGTGGTTGCCTCTTCAAAGCCATATACAGATGAAACTCGAAAAATTAGAATATCGTGCAAATGTTCATTTATGTCAGTAAGG